CATACAAAAGGGTAAAAAACAATCTCCCAGAGAGGACTAGATGTTCTTTAAGGTCCCTTCCAAACCAATCTTTCTGTGATTCTATGTCTCTATGAAATAATTCAAGTGGCTATTTCCTATACAACATGCTTTATCAGTAGGTAGTGAAACTTCTAATTTTAAAGACAATAGCAAAGATTTCTGTGATATGACACTAGTGGCAGAAGGATTGCCCTTAGACATTACAATTTCAAAAATTGTCATTACTACAGTTTAAAAATATTTAACATTTTGTGTTATAGCTGTGCAGTGTGGTAATCCAGGAACAACTGCTAATGGAAAAGTATTTCGTATTGATGGAACTACATTCTCTAATTCAGTAATTTATTCATGCATGGAAGGATACATACTTTCTGGATCATCTGTAAGACAATGCACTGCCAATGGAACGTGGTCTGGATCCTTGCCAAACTGCACAAGTAAGACATATCTCTAATGAATATTCTTTGTTTTTCTCTCCTCTTAAACACTATAAAGTAAAATACAGAAGTTGGATGCAGATGAATAGTCTTCAGGGGTTTTTTTATGCTACTTCATACGTAATTTTGTACATGAAATACATTTTAAAAATATACTGCTGTGAGAAAATAAAGAATATTTTTTTTTGAAGACTGACAGAGTATAGTGAAATATATAGACTGTTGTTACAGTTTAAAGAAGTTGTGTGTTTACAAGATTTACCTACGTTAATTCTTCCTAGGTATGTATTTTTAATCTTGCTTAGGTTTTGTGATGTGTCATATTCAGACATTATTCATTTAATTGCTTTTCTTCATCACGGAAACTTAGCACTATAATATCCTGGTCTTCCAGAGAGCAGAAAACAAAAACCTTGTCATGAAAATTTGAGAATTCCTTTTGTAGTGACTCTGAGATCAAAACTGTTGTCCTGCTTTCAAGTAACACCTACTGTTTGGTGTCTTCATTAACCTTCTCCTTGCTTTGGTTGTTCAGCTAACAGGTGCAATTTCATCTTCTCTTATAAATAAGCATTTTGCAATAGTTTATTTTCAAGTCCATCTGTTCCTGATTTATCACTTGTCCTGGTTCATTTTTTAGTAACAGTTATGAAAATTTTGTATTTATGTGACACATGAGACTGCTTGTCATTTTGAGGAAATAGCCTCATCAGAGGTATAGCGAACTGTTACCTAAATTTTGAATAAGTACCCTAGGTTTTGTAGTAGAGTTGGCTGCATTACACACTTAGAGCAACTTAAAGCAACTTAAACCAACTGTGTTGGTTTTAAATCCATCTTTAATGATTATCATGTGAACAGTTGCTTTTGCAGTCGGCAAACCTGTGAGAAAACCCAATGTTTTTGTTTATTTTTTTCCAAGTTATAATGAGAACCGTATTAATTGCACCAATGATTAAGGTGTTTTGTGGTGGTAACAGCATCTGTATTTTTTTTTATATTTTAGAATGAGATTTAGCTACCATAGTAGATAAGTTTTAGCTGAGCCTGAGTAACTGAGATTTGGTAGCTGAGATTTAGCTACTACGGTAGAACAGTCTTCTCAAAAAAACCTGCTCAGGTAGAAACTTGGAATTTTTATTTAAAACCTAGAAAAATGTCTTAACAGAGAAATTATCTTAATAAAGAGAAACGTTATGAAGATCATATGTGATAGAAAAAAATATTTTTGATTTTATTAATATATAAGTATTTTAACTTTGTTATACAGTAAATCCACTGAAATTCCTAATACACTGTTCTCTTTGTTGTGATTATACATTTAAAAAGTATATTCCCTTATATGTTTTTTTAATGATAATACTGTTTAAGAGGTTTTAATTTGCTAAGTATCTCCTGCAGTGGTAAAACTGTAAAAAAATACATTGAACAAAAGTGTTACCAAAAAAGGTATGAACTCTGAGAATCTCAGCCTGACTAATTTCTGCTTTTTTGTCATCATTGCTGACTATTATCTAATTTCTAATGGGAGGCAGAAATGCTACTGGGTACAACAATTTGTACCTAAGCTGCTACAGTTACTAGCAGCAGCTCTGAAATAAAAATCCAGAAATGGAGAGGCATTCTCCAGCACTGCAGAATGGCTGATGTCGGCAGTCACCTCCGGAGCAGCCTGACTAATTTCTGCTTTTTTGTCATCATTGCTGACTATTATCTAATTTCTAATGGGAGGCAGAAATGCTACTGGGTACAACAATTTGTACCTAAGCTGCTACAGTTACTAGCAGCAGCTCTGAAATAAAAATCCAGAAATGGAGAGGCATTCTCCAGCACTGCAGAATGGCTGATGTCGGCAGTCACCTCCGGAGTCTCATCCAACCCCTCTGCTTGTGGCAGGATCATCTAGCAGGAGGCTCAGAGCTGTGTCCAGTCTGTGTCCTTCTCTACAGACCTCAAATTCCCTATTTCCCTAGTACATCTAAATAAAAAATAATAAATATATTAAACTTCATCCTACTTATCTTGCTATGTTCTCTCTTGCAAAAATATATCATAGTGGTGTAGGTACAAAAGTATATCACAGGCCATGGTCTTCTGGTCAGGAACACTACAATTATTTAAGCTAGTTTTTGATACCACAGTGAGTTAAGTGGAGACGGTCCAACTTTAGGGTTGCCTGAGCAGGAGAGTTGGATGAGATGCCCTCCAGAAGTCCTTTCCAATCTAACCATTCTGTGATTCTCTGACTGACTGAATCTGTGTACCTAAATGCCACTGTGCCTACTAACTTATCTATGTTTGTGACAAAATACAGTACCTCAGTAAAATCTAGTCACCTTCTTACGTCTGCTTTTTCTTTCTTTGAAAGTCAAATAATGCAGTGTAAGACAAAAAAGCAAAAGACTCTGTTCTTTACCACTCTTAACCCACCTCTTTGAACAATTCTAATGTTACAACACAGTCATATGAAGAATGACTCTTTTTCCCCTTAATTTTTCTTTCATGCAACTCTTTTTCCTATAGTATGATAAAGACTGCTAAGTACAGAAGGGCAAAAACACATGAAAGGAAATAGGCCTTAATGATATGCATTTGAGAAGGTAGAACCATCTAGAGATCTTCTAAAGCCATGGTGTCTCTTTCTGTGTACCAGAGCAATGTTAAAGCGTCAGTAGCAGGAAAGGGTAAAATCATTACAGTAACAGGGAAAGAAGCAAAAAGTTTTTATTAATGACCAAAAAAAAGAAATGGAGACTGAAAGGAAGGTGAATGAAAATCTGAGAACATGGGGGTTTTTATTTAATGAAACAATGAAAACAGTTTTCAACAGTATAAAATTAATGGATAATTTGTGGAGCTGTTTTATCATATATAGTATATGATGTTTGTATGTTTTAAATTTGTAAGGCAATGATCCGAAATATTCTTCATACAGGAGATTCTAAAGAGGTGAAACAAATATTTGGGAAAAAAGGATAAAAGCATGAGGATTACGTTGTGATCTACTCAAAAAAGTAGCATACTTGGAAAAATATCAAGTATGATTTCAGTTGAATTTCTAACATGAAGGATAGCAAAAGTTGGCATATGTCAAATAAAAAAAGGTAGAACATATAAAGTAATTGAATATACCCATATAACTAAGAAAAACAGTTATGTCTTTCACTGCTCTATATTTTTTGAAAAATGACAGAGAAAAAATTATGACTTTTAAATTATTTTTTTTTACATTAAATTACCATGTTACAAGGTAAAATAAAGTAGACTGATCTCCAGTTTTCTTTGTCACTGCACTGGCTACTTTAGACTGACCCTGATAATCCTGTGGTATGTTTTATAATCTCTTCTGTATCCATAGACAGTGATTGTGTGGGATTTGGGTTTTTTTTGGTTGGTTGGTTTTGGTTTGTTTATTTTTTAAAGATTTGGTAAGTGCATCTTAATTAGTATTTGTTCTTTCAGACTAGATACAGTGTAGGCAGGCATACTATATACCTCGGATTCTCAGTTCCCCAGGATACAGAGAGAGAACCAAATATCAGTCATGCTTTGGCATTGAGTTAGAAATAGCCAAGATGTGTTTTCTGTTCAGGAAACTGCCTCCCACATTTTTTCCAGAAGTAATAACAATGCTGTAGGGGGATCTTCAGATTTACTCTAAGATAAACTTTAAAACACGAGTACTGTATTTTGTATGAACAAGGTATTTTCCCTGTTGTTTGTTTTCTTTTTTTCCTGAAACCAACAGCTTTTTATCATTGCCACCAGGTTTCTCAAGATTTCTTACTCTGAAAGAGTCTCTTTATATTAACTACTTATGAATATTTCATCTCATTAGGAGATTAAATTACCTCCTGACACTAGAAATCACAAGAGGTTTTACAACAACTCCTACTCGTTAAAGTACTGTAGGCCTAATTTTGTTCTAAGCCATGGCCCATAATAACCATGTGACTATTTACAAAATGGGAGGGTTTTGCGGACATATATCTTAAATTTTCCAGACTGTTTTTCCTTTCAGTATGCATCCATGGAAAAGTAAACAATAGACATCTGCTTCTTTAATAATGAAACTCTGAACTTACAGGAAGATCGGGGAGTATCAAAGAGTGGCAGTAACATATAGAATATTTGCTACCTTTTTTAATCTTGATACTTTACTGATCAAAACTGTACAGTCCGTTACTTCTACTGTTGAACAGATGTACTGATGTTCTGCAAACATAACTGTTACACAGTGTTTGGCAGCTAATTAAGATGGCATATGTATTTATCTTCTTTTGATGGATATAAGATTTTATGATACTTTCTCCTTTGGTCCCCAGTGAATTCCTAGTTTTGCCCTATGCTTTTTCCCTCACATATAAATAAATCACATTTAGGTTTTATAATCTATTCTTCAACTATTTCCCTGCAGTTATCAGTTGTGGAGATCCAGGAGTCCCAGCCAATGGCATGAGATATGGTGATGATTATGTTGTTGGACAAAATGTTACTTACATGTGCCAGCCTGGTTATACAATGGATTCAAATAGCTCCTTAATTCGCACTTGTACTAGCAATGGCACGTGGAGTGGAGTAATCCCAACATGCAAAGGTACAACATTTATTTTGATTGTCAACTATTTCTTCCACGACATTTACATTCCGTTTATTGTAATGAGTCAGCCAAATATTTCCACAGAAATCAAAACTCGCTGTTAGCATGAATACACTGAATTGATTTTTTGGCTGCAGGAATAGTGGCTTTATCCTTTGCATCTTTTCCCTTTTATTTTTCATACAAGCAAAGTATGTTGAACATTTTTTGTAGCTTTATAGAACATTTTATTATTTTGCTACTAAACTGAATTAGGCAGTATGAAACGATGCTTTAGATTTGTTTGTTTGCTAAAATTAGCATGTCATACTAAAAATGGCCTTATATATGTCTCTGCCTTTAGAAAAAGACCACCCAAGCATATGATAGAAAATGCTGTGAAAGGTCTGAATACATATAACTGAACTTTGTCAAAGGCAGATTGTTCTGGGTTCACCTTTCCATAATACTGAGAATTTTCTCTGATCCCTCCTTCATTAGACATGCACCTTTGAGCATCTCTCTACTGTGAAAACTGGAAAGAATAATCTCAGGGTCTTCCTTTTATTTCTTTTGCTAATTGCATTCCTCTTTCTTCTGTTTTATTTGAATGGTTTTAATGCTCTCTGTTGAAATTGAAAGAGAAAAAAATCTGAACATCTCTGATAGACAACCTTATCTGTGTCATCAAAACAATTTTCTCTGAGAAACTAATTTGGTTGCCAAACCCTAAACATCTCTCTAGAATAATTTTTCTGTCTTCCTGATACAATAGCTATGGTGAAGCAGTGCTCCCTTTTGGATGTTTTGTTTCTGGGTTCACACTAAATATATCTGATCTCTGTTCCTTTAAAACTTATTTGGCTAGATATGTACTTCCTTTATTCTCATCCATCTTCCTTCTGTTTTGTTTTCCAGAAGGACGGTTATATACCTGCTCAGCATTTTTCGCTTTCCTCCCCTGAATCCATTCATCAAAACAGATCAAATAGTTTTCAGATGTCCACCCCATTTGCAGTTACTTTCCTTGCTGAGTACAATTCTTCCAATATCTTACCAAGTCCATTTTATTTCTAATTCACCTTTGATAATGTCAATTCTTAAGGCTATTTTCCCAACACATTCTTGAGGATGGCAGACTTTTAAGACCCTCTTAATTCCTTCTTTTTTTTTTTTCTTCTATATGTATTGTGCTCTTAACCAGCCTCAGCTTCAATTACAAAACTGATTTTAAGAACAGAACAGACATACTGGTTCTATAGACTAAGAGCCTGTCTGTCTCCAAGAGTGGCTGTGAGTGAACAGCTAGAAGATCATAGGACTGAACAAGTATTTATTATATAGTCTCCCAGCCTCAAATTCTTAATGACTACAGGACACCTAACTGGGAGCAGGAGATCTAATGCTTTGATTCAAACAGAACCTTACAGAGAGAGAGAGAAAGACTTAGACTGTCAAGTGTGGCTTTGAGGTTACAAGTCTTTCTGGTTTTAGGTCATACATATTTATGGCTTGTCTAAATACTGAATAATAATAATCATATGCAGAATCTCTAGTGTTCTCAGAATTTTGCTCTACTCCACACAGGTTTGTGTGAGTGCATGACATAAGTTAGTAACCTGTGTTTCTTTGACTCTGTAATAAAAAGTAATAGCTAATATGAAGTAGTGTGTTTGAAATGTATAACCATTAGTTCTTACTGTCACGAGGAAGTGCCAGTGTCCTTTGATACCATTTAGTTAAAATAATTGGAAAATGAACTGAGCAGAAAATGGATGCACAGTTGTCACTGTGCTATTGAAATAGAAGATATAAATAATTCTCTGGCTTTGCCTAGTTGGAAAAGGATGCATGTTCATCTGCAACTAAATATTCAACTATTCAAGCATTGTCTTTTCTGCAGATTTCCATTTACACTTTCAGCTGTTAAACTGAGAAATGTTGCTGTACATGCTTATGGTTAAATCTTTGACAAAAGTATTTGGAGAGACATTCTCCCTTGTTGCTGGATGGTGTTTTGTTTTGCCTTTTTCACCCCAAAATTCTGATATTGCACCTGCTTTCATGCTACTTCTTCTGTCTCCTTTCCTAATTATTGACTGGTATATTTTTCTTAATTATTCATCTCAGAAGTTAAAACATAAAGATCTTTTTTAAAGGACTAGTCGTGAAGCTCTTGGAGAATGCAGACAGACTTTTGTTGCTTGGACTACTTGTTTTGATTTACTTTTATCAATGCATCATGAAAGTGGGCAAAAGCTGTCATGTCCTTTTCACGGTTCGTTGTTTTGTGCTTTTTTTAAAGCTATGAACCAGAGCCAGAGAAACAGAAAGTATTAAAAATAGGGTCTTAAACTTTAGATTTGGTTTACTAGTTGGCAAAGGATTATTTGATAATAGTACTACTTTCATCCAGCATTCCCAAAGAACCGTAAGTGATGCTGCGTCTTTGTGGTGTAAAAATTGATATTCTCTCACTGAACAGTTTAGTAAGAATGGCGACATGGTACATGGTCAACCTTCTGCAGATCACATTCAAATGCACAGTACTCCTGATCTAGTGCCTCTCACTTATTTTGAGCCTGCAAGATGACAGCTATCTAAACACAAGTTTAAAGGTTATGAGTGCAGCATTTCATTTACTTCATTCTTGTGAACTGTATGTTCTCTGCTTTATTTTTGAGCACTGCCTCTTCTCATTTACCCTGTCTCCACCAAATTAAAACACACTAGTTTTACTTACTTTCTTGCTCTTTGCTAGCACATTCTCTCCCATCTTTTCTCTTTTTTACCCTTTTCCTCATTCATTCTAGTAACTTTGACTTAAATTTCCCCCTTTCTCTTTCTGATTCACATTTTTACATGCAACTTCTTTATACCCTTCTTCCTTCACTTCTTAACTAGCAATTGATGTTACTATCCCATTATTCAGTGAATAACACTTTTATCCTCATCACTACAGTCGTGTCTGTTTATTTCTACTGTCCTGTAGTGTTTTGCGGTCTTCTTTCCTACAACAGAGTAGAAGATGTTTCTATTTTTTCCTGGAAGGCCTGGAAATGAGAAACTATACTGAAATACTTCTTGTTGGCAACACTGACTAGTTCAAGAGGTGGCAAATCCTTGGTTTTTCTCCTGTCTAGAAGCTAAATGCTTTTTGATTAGAAGCTATTCATGAAACAAGTACTAACCAAACTGTGGTGCTTAGAAAGGCTTTCAAAACTTATTTTTGGAACAATCATCCTGGAATTTCGTCGCTGGGAGTTAATATCTAGCAAATGCCAATGCTGGTTAACAGGAAGAAAGTATTTGACTATTACCATGGTAGCTAAAGATAATTGTGCTTTTTGTTGTCTAACAGGCAAATAAAATCATCTTGTAGTAGACTAACAGACATATCTAAAATGTTGTACATTTCATAGTCTGAGTACTGATTTTTAGGTAGTCTTCCTATTGGTTTGATGCAGCATCCTGTTTTATTTAAGACATTTCATCAAACAGCCACTGTCTCCTAAATGGAGGAAATTAGAAGTACTAACTTCAGGAAATGTGGCAAGAATACAGTGAGAAAGATAACATGTCCTGACTGTGTTGTCCTCTAAAAAGGTGAAATTGGCACATATGGTTCTCCTAGTAATTGTGTACACTGGGGATATTTACAACAGCTGGGCCTAATTATTTTTTAATATTATTGCAGCTGTTACCTGCCCAACTCCTCCGCAGATCTCTAATGGAAGGTTGGAAGGAACAAACTTGGACTGGGGGTTTAGCATCAGCTATGTCTGCTCTCCAGGATATGAACTGTCTTTTCCTGCTGTTCTGACTTGTGTTGGAAATGGAACCTGGAGTGGTGAAGTACCTCAGTGCTTGCGTATGTATTTGCTTTATAGTCCTGTATTTCTTTGTTCAACTATAGTTGTCTTGTCCTCTTTAAAGTTTTCACCTTCCCCTCCCCCCCAATGGTTCAGTTAATTTCAAACTTGAGACAAATACAATCATTCTATATTTTCCAAAATTATAATGTAGTTTGTAGATTGAAGAAGACATAGGAATATCTATAAATCATTTGTGAGCACATAGGAAGCCTTAAACACAAACACAATAAAAAATATAGGCAATGCATACCAAATGATCCAAAGCAAAACAAGATTAAGAGCTGCTGTCTTGATTTCAGATCCAGCTACATATAGAATAGGGGAAGTTTCATTATAATCTCTTTTATTCACTCATTACTCATCCTAAACCTTCTCTGATGTCACAGAGAGTTTCTTCTGTTCATAATGCTGACTGAGCCCCAGGGTGCTTCCTTGACGATTGTCTATTTTTCCCCCTGCACTAAATTAAGTTATATATTTTATGCAGTAAATTTTGTTAACATGAAAGTTATAGCACTGATGGATTTTTATATTACTGTGAATTTCATTACAATAGCAAATGTGACTTTTTCTTCAGGTTGGTGTAATTCAACTCATTGTTTAAAGAATATCTTTAAAGAAGTGATTGTGATGCTTTTGGGAAATGACTAATTGCACTGAAGAACGTTCTGTAGTAATTTGTAGAATAGCCATACCACTGAAACTCTGTAATGGTCTTGAGCAAGTGTCTAACTGGAAGAAGATGACTTCATCTTTGTGGCTTTACAGCTTCTGAAGTTTAATTTGAGCTTGCCAAGTAGCTGAGCTTGTTCTCCTTTTACTTTTTTTTTGCATTCTTCTCTCCCTTTCAAAAATGTTCTCTGCTTTGGCTATATTGTACTATTGTGAACGCATATTGTATAGATGATCTTTTCCTTCTTTTCCTAATGAAATTCTTGTATCATTAACAGTTGCTTAGTGCTTCTGAAACTATATGTGCCGGAGCTGGAATGTAGTGAAAGGCATTGTTTCTGGAAGAAAAAACAAACACCATTTTTCATTTAAGTTCTCTAAATGGAGCTTTTCTAGAATCCAGTACATTATGAAGATCAAAACCCATGAAAAATTCATTTCATCATTTGTTATTTATTGAACTACTGTTATTTTTTGGCATACCACAAGCTATTTATTACCTTTCAGGTTGGAATACTCAATACTACAATATGGTCCAAAAAAGAAGCTCCACCTTTAAACTTTTTAGAAGGTATAGTTAGCACAGAATGCAGCTGCCTGGGAATTAAAGGTTGTTTCCTGCAGAGATTACATTAACTGAATGTTGTTGATGTGCAATGGTTACCCATTGGCTTGCAAGAGAAATCAATTGGCAGTCAGTGTTTGTCAAAGAGCTTAAACTAGCTGCCATCTGGCAGAAATGAGAGAGAGCTGATGAAAGTCATTCTCAATGAGCAATCTTTAAGCAGTTCTTGACATGAGAAATTTAGTTCCCAGCTTGGCTCCCTAGAGCCTGTAGCTGAAGATATGCAAGGTACAGTTATAACATGGAATAATTATTCAGAATGGACTACGGTCATGTCTTCGATTGAGCATTTGTCATCTATGACCTAGTAAATTTGTCTGCTTAATTATTCATATAGTAATTTGAGTGAAGGACTGCAGGTTTTATAAGCTTGGCAGTAGATGGAAAAAAATTAGGTCTATACCTGAAATTTCCTGACTACAGATATAACTTGCTGTTAATCAATTAAATGTCTTTGAACTAGCCTCACAGCCTCAGTGCCAGAGCTCCACAGCCCTGTCTTTGTTTAAGAGTCTCAAAGTCTTTAGGAAAATATTTCAGTTGGGGGCAGGAGCACTCACAGAGCTTTCAGTTTGCTGCAACTTTAGTTTGTCCCATAGTCTCCAGTTCCCATATTAGAAGAAAACTGGTATGTTTCACAATGATGCTGGGTTTCCATGGTTACCTGTACAGAAGGCAGCTATGCAGTAGCTATTCAATGAGTAGGTTAAGCTAACTGACAGTTAAGTGGTGGAGTTCACTTAGTTTTACAGAAAATTAATAAACTTGGCAAAAAAATCATTTTTTAATGTGATTTTTTTAATGTGAGGATGTTTTCCTGTGCGAGTGGTTCCTACTTTGCTGGTATCAGGAAGTGTTCAATAGACAGTTTCAAGCCTCTGTATTAAAAATCTGTAGGTGGTTCATGTATTTTCAAATTAAGACTTCCACAGCATTTTATACTGCAAACATAAATTGCAGACATGATTTGTGAATCGCATAATGAGGTTCATTGTGTGGCACTGTCTCCATAGATTTTTTGGAATTTGTCCTATAATTCTGCAGACTGTATCAGTGCACTTAAAGCCATGAAAGAATACGCATTTCTGGTATATTATAGATTGAAAACTTTTTCTTCAACGTAAGTGTGCAGGGGTTTCCTGTACACTCAGTGTCTGAAGTAAGAGAGGGCAGGAGCATTGCATGTGAGCATGTCCTTTGAAAAGCTTAAGGCATAGGTGACAAAAATAAACATATTAGAGGTGGTTGTTTAAGAGATGTAATTTAAATTTTGTTTGTAGAAGAGAAAGTTGGAGCAGAAAATTCCACTGCTTTTCAGAAATCTATCATTGCACACATGGATTAGTGTTTTATTTTTTGTGCATTACAGCATTTTCTGTTTCATATGAAGTCAGACTCTACAGTATTGGAATTCGTGGTGTGTCAGGGAATGATATGGTCTAATAGCACAGAGGTTAGCATAGCTGATTGCATTTCCTGAACCAATTATTCAAAATGCAGTTTCTGACAATAATCAGTATTTTATACTGCAGAAGAAGGCCAGCAAATTTGTCAGCAGTTCGTTGCCTTCGTCGTGCTGTCTGTAGATATAAGAAATCTTTAGATGATATATGTAAAGTAAAAAGATCAATTTAAGAATATGTTCTTATTGGTCAGATTTATCCTGCCTGATAACAACTTCTTAGTGCTTGACTTTTGTGTTGCTGCTGAGATTTCTTTACTGTGTTATTGTGGGATTTTTTTTTAGCTGTACTAATTTTCAAGTGTTGCACTTCCATACATACAAATCTTATCTTTCAGTGAAGGGTGAGGAAGTAAGAATTTATGATTCCAATAATCCTTCTGACAAATCTTTTAATCATACAAAAATGTTGAGCACTGGGTGGGTGGCAGAAAGCAGGAGAGGATGGGAGATTGACATGAAGGTTTGGTATGCTCTCTGATTGCTCTATGTAGGAGGATTTGCAGATTGATGTGCGTTTGGGCAGAGGTGAATTGTGGATTTTCGGGCCTTAATGAAATAAGCTGAGTAACTTGAGTGTCAACTTCAAGCTACTGACCAAGCCCACAATGTAGGTGTTTTAGCAAAACCACTGCAAACTGAAGAGCAGACTAAAGATTCGCTATCTCATCTCTCTTTGAATTTCTATTGAATGTTTCTGTATTTGACCTGTGTTTGGAAAACAAATATAAAATTTGAAGTAACTGCTTGGCTGAGTTCAAGTGAGTGCTATTTTTGTGTATTTTAATAAATTACACATTCCATTTCTATCATGTCTTTTCTCACAGCAAAGTTTTGTGGTGACCCAGGAGTGCCTGCTCAAGGGAAAAGAGAAGGCAAAAGCTTCATTTATCAGTCAGAAGTCTCTTTCAGCTGCAATCCTCCTTTCATTTTGGTTGGCTCCAGCACCAGGATTTGCCAAGCAGATGGCACGTGGAGTGGTTCTTCTCCTCGATGTATAGGTAAGGTATCATTGAAACTTCTTTAAATGCTTGTTATTCCTTTTCCTGCTGTATTGGGTTGGCTCAGCCGGATTT